CAATATCCGAGAGGGTGTTTGTGCCCCTCATTTAGCTCCGCCCCCCTCAAACAATATATAAGCAGGTACAGAGTAAAATACGAGCCAGTTTCAGTCAAGCTTTGAAGAAGCCAAGAGGATGATTGGCGAAACGTCAGCAATTTCGACTAAGCAAAAAGCGACGCAGGAGGAATCCAGAAGTTTTATAAAAAGTATAAACTATTTCATATAAAACATTATTACATTATATTAGTATACATTACAATTTGTACATTAGCATTTGTTCACAGTATAAAACAGCATGATTAATACAAAAAAAAGTCACGCCAAAAAATCAATTTTTATTTATTACAACGCAAAGAACGGTAAAACCAAACTCGATATACCAAAGAATACTGAAGTTGCAAATTAAACTAAAATTAAAGAATTTGAATTTAAACGAACTGACAATTTGAAAACCTTTGGAATTTTTCTTCACCAGCCTAGGACAGTTCGAAACTCGAATCGAAATTAACCATAACAGACAAAAAATGATAAATTTATATTTTATATTTAATAATTCGTCTGCAAGAATTGCTCCAGTGCTAAAAAGATGGTTATAAATAATATTTCATTTTTATTCATATATTCATACATAAAACAGTTAAATAGAAAACAAGTCTACAGAAAACAGCAGCAAGTAAAATGCCGGAATGACAAGAAAGCAAAATAATAAATAAAACCAAAAATTACGCATTAGACACATAGATTCTTTCGAACGTTTTTCTTTTTTTTTTCTAATTTAAAATTGTATTGAAATAAGATAAAAGTTGGCCTAATATTAAAAAATAAATAGAATGGCACATCATACTTTTTTTCTGATAGTACATCCTACAACGTCTAAGTTTATGTGTTCCATCTTTAGGTGCGTACTTTTCTTTAAAAAAATTTTTTTCGCAGAATTCACAGTTGGAAACCCTAAAAGACATATGACTAATTATAAACTGCAAACTGAAGACTCATTTTATGAAAATGTAAATATTACACTAAATGTAGCTTTTTTTATCCTTGTTTCTATATCTAGACAAAAACGATAGGCCACCTTTTTCTGGTTGTACATTTAGACGGAGCTTCAGACTCAGCCGTCAATGCGACTTCACGACGCACTCACATATCACATCAAAGGAGTACCTAAGCCCAATTAAGATTTTAATATTATTTAGTCAAAACTGTTGATTACTATCAAAGCAAATCATAGATCAAACTAGCACAAAGCCCAAGATAAAACAAATATTTGGTTTTAAAGAGGATAATAAAATCTTACAAACATATGTATACCACTGAATTGTTTAGTAGGTTCCACTAAAAAATAAACTAACGCACCAACATTTTGATATAAAAAATGACTTAAACAACGAAACAGTGGTTTCTGTGGGCAGCGGACAATAATCGACATGTCACGTGCACTGCTACTCACAGAATCTGGTTAGTAGGTTGTGTTCCCAGCGCTCTTCTTCCTTTTTTGTGCATTCGCCAATATGCTCGCTGGCGCAGTGCCTGTTATCCACTGGTCTAACAGAGGTTATAAATTAGAAGTGCAGCGTGTTGAATTTACGTCCACAACGGTGGATTATTCAATGGAATTTCATAGTGGTCGCGGCAGTGAGTAATTTTAACAGTCTCTCTTCGCAGTGTGCCGTAATAAACCCAAATTTAACTATAGTTAAACATTCTCCACAGGTACGATAATGACTTAGGATCCTTGGAAATATAGAGAAAATCCCAGTTCGCAAATTATCGAGGAATATCTTGTGCCGTAACTTTGTTAATTATGTACACCGTGTGCCAAATAAAACGATCCACTATACGATCTGGAAACCCATAGGACATACGAAAAAAAGTTTCGTACAAAAGTTTCTTGGACTCTCCTGAAGATTTAAATTATTGTAATTTTGTTGATACGGGATGTCCGAAAAATGTCTCCTCCACCGACATGTACTTTGTTATTTTAAATGGAACATCCTGTATAGTTCGACATTTTTTGAATCGTTTCTTAAAATAAGGGTTTCTTAGGAAATTTCTATTTGAATTTAGTATAGTTTGGGCAGAAATTGGGATTATTCATATTTTGATTGCCCCATATAAAATTATGTTGTGACGCTGCTGATTCAGATATTGCAATGAAAATTAAACCACAGACTAAGGAGATGATGCACTACTCAATCAGTTTGACAGATGCGGCTCAGCTTATACAGGGTGTCCCAAATAGCTGGTGCCGTTTTGGCGAATATAATTCAAAAAATCTCAAGATTTTCAAATGGAACACCCCATATTTTTATTCAGACAGACAAAAAAACAAGGTAAGTTTATAATTTATCTTATATTTAAATTTTACTTACTTTCTGAGATATTCGAGGTTTAAGATATCACCCCTATAAATTCTTGTTGAATTTAATGCTGCTCACATTAGGTCACTTGATACTATTTCTTTTAAAGATATAATACTCCAGATATACGAATAAAACCTATTGCTAACAATACAGCTTAAACAAAACTTCAGAATTCTTCAAGCTTGATTGAAAATGCCTAATAACAAAAATAAATAATTAAAGTTTATAGGTTAACCAAAAAACTATAACTTATTTAAAATAGAAATAAAATATATACTAACAAAAAACTTGACAACTATGAATAGAAATATGAAAAACAACAAACACAAACAGAAATGTCAAAGTTTGTTTATACCTTAATGCGTCAAAAAAAAAGATTGCGATGTCATAGCCAACTATATTTTTAAATATTTTCATTTTTCTTTGTTGTTTTGATGCCTGATTGAACGAGCATTTTAAGAGGAACATTTTTAACTAAACTTTATGGACCGAATTAACGAGCACTTTTTAGTTAACTTTTTTTTTATTGATTTGTTACCTTGATTAGTTGTGGTATTTTCAATCAAACTGGATAATTAACTATTAAATGCTTCTTTAAATATGAATGCTTAAGTTTTATTATACTTTTAGAAGAAGTAGTATCATGTCTTTGCTATTTAAAAAATACCTAATATTGCCAATAAGTGACCTAATGTGGGCAGCTTTAAATTCAACAAGAATTTATACGTGTGCTATCTTAAACCCCGAATATCTCGAAAAATAAGAAAAATTTAAATATAGGACAAGTTACAAACTTACCTTTTTTTTATCCTAGAATTTTGTTAGGAAGCTTTTTTGGTATCTCCTATAAGCCGTTTTATTTGGCACACGGTGTACGTTAATAAAAAGCTAACTTTATGTATATTTCGATATTGAATATATTACCGGATCATATTGAAAATGCGGGCGATATGTTATTTCCGAGTTCGAAAACAAAATTTTGAATATAAACATTTAAAGGCCGGATTAAAATATCCACCCCCAACGTTATTAATCCGTGTCGTATATTTTACGCGCCGGTATAATGGAATATTTTATGCCGCGAGCTAATTCCGACATATTCAAAATATAAACAGCCCCCCGACTCGTTTCGATGCTTTCGGTAAATACGACCGATTTCGATAAAATATTGGGGGAAATGAAAACGCCAATGCAGTCGAACGGAAATGAACGCCCACCTAAATTCAACCCTTCCGTTGCATTTCAAACTCCACAACTTTCGACGGAGCGAAGGGACGTTTTAGCCACTTAAAAACTTAGTCGAAACAATCCGAGGGAGAAATTAATTATTTGAAATACACCGCAATAGGCTATTTCCACCTAAAATGCCTTTATTTGATAAAATGTTTATTAGTAATTTGGTACCCTTCTGCCAAATATTTTTCAAATTCACTAACTCAGAAAACGCGACGTGGCACCCGAGAAAATTCACAAAATAGGCTATGACGTCACTATGCACTATTGTCGCGGAAAGGGTAACAACACAACGCAACAATACCATAGAATCCTTTGATAAAAATTTTAGGTTAGGTTGTAAATTCCCACTGGCTGGCATAGCGCGAATTCGCGTGAAGTTGTAGTGTAATGCCGTAATTAAATACCAGTTTATGTGCGTTAATTGTTCCAATGCGTCTATTAAAAAATTAGATATTGTTGTCTTTTGAACTCGAAGAATGCAGACTGTGAAGGAAAGAAAATAAAGGACTTCATACGGAGGCTGAACTCGATAAGGAGGTGCGGAAGTGTGCCACAGTATGTTTCATGCATGTCCATGGCATGTGTGATTGTCCCCCATTTTAACTCTTTTTTTTTTAATTAACTCATTTGCATAAACAATATATTGATATTTAATTAAATTAAACCATACAATCTTTTTTTATATACGTAAATAGAATCTTATTTTTTTTATATAAGCCCTGTTTCTTTGTTTCCTTATATTGACTTTTTCTTCGTTGGTTTACCTGATAAAGGTGTCTACTCTATAGTATAGAAACGAACTAACTGAGTATTTAATAATAACAACAATAATAATGGAAATAATAAACTGTCTTTATTAAAAATCAATATATTATTATAAGTTATAATACAAGAGTGGCGGCATTCGCAAATTGCGAATGTAACCACAAGAAACAAGACACACCACCAAGACACAAGAACTAAGGCAACAGCACCAATACCATATTTATCAACAAAATACACACCCGTATATAGATCGTAAACACAAGAAATAGAAGCACATCATAAACTCATCATAAATATTTTAATCGATTTTTATTTTATCATTTATGCAAATTTAAAATTAAATTTAACTTAATATGGACGTCCAGCTAATGAAATGGACATCTTAAAACGTGAATAATGAGTGCACTGTATGCAATCTGATAGTCGCTGGATATACGTCATTAAACGTTGTATGGATGTCCTAATATCCTAAACGGACATCCACTGAACATTCATAAAATATCAGACCTCTTTGGAACAACTATTTGGCATCGTAAACAAAAAAATCAGTTTTTTATTTCATAAATTAGCTACAATTAGCACCAGCAACCTGTAAAATGAGGTTCGCTAGGTTGTTGGACACTGATTTGATTATTAATCTTTTTTTTTCAGAAATCTACTAATTTTGAAAGAAAACGCCATCTAGTGCCAAGGTAAGCAAACCCAACAGACTCATTCATAGGTACATTCAGCACTCATGCTATGCCTATTATAAGAAAATTCTCCAGAAAACTGGTTTTACAAAGAAAGATGAAAATTATAATTTAAGTGTCTGCCGCAAGGTCTATACAGGTCCAAAATATGATTTTGATTATGAAATGATGTTAAAAGAATCTTTTCTTTTTTCAGAAATGTATTTATGCCGGAAAATGCCACCTAGTGCCCAGGTAAGCAAACAAATTTGCTTTATAAGAAAATTTTCCAGCAATCCGTTTTTAGAAAATGAATATGACAATTACACTTCAAGTTGTGCCTGCCGCAAGGTCTAATATATCATGATTTCCATAAAATATCTTTCTGATGTCAATCATCCTTCTGAACATCTGACATATCTCGGCGCGGGAAGTACGGAATTATAACTCATATTTGGAAGAAGTGTTTTGCTTTTAAGTTTTGCTCTTAAAGTGTAGATGAGATTAAAAATAAAATTGCGGTTATATTTTCTGGTGGTCAAATTACTTTGACATATTCAAAGCAGAGAAAGGCTCTCAATTAAAAATGCTACTAAGGGTGTTTCATTTACTTAATTTATAAATATTGTAATCAGTTTAAAATATTTTTTTTCTCATTCCTGCAAAGGCAAAGCTTTGTCTTGGAGAACGCATATCCACTGTATTTCAATGTATTCGACCATCAATTTAAGGTTTGTACCGAATAAACACCTTGTATAAACACACCCGTGACAATTTTAATTAGAATCATCGATCGATCGTTATGGTCGGGCGAGTTCAATCAACCGTGTCTCCCCCAATTACACACTACCACATAAACCTTGAATTCCAAAGAGAATCCTCGAGGCTGATCCACTGGTACCTGACAAAAATAACAATGACGCGTCGAATTGCCGTCCTGGGTGCGTCTGATACTGTTCAAACGGAATCCCGGATGTCGGCCATTAGGCGCGAAACGCCGGAAACTACAATATTTATAACCATTCGGCGTCGACGAATTCATTCATTCCATGCTCGAGCCTACCATTCACGTGTTCATCGTATATAATTATACTTTATTAATAATTACGGGCTATTAAAATGTTTTCGACGTTAACACGAAAACTAACATTGTTGCGCACGTTGTCTTATTAGGAACCGGGTTTTGGAAAAAATATAATCGGATGAAACTAGAAAATATTTTACTTTCCCTTTACTTGGGTATAACGTTAACTGTTTTAGTTGGTTTAATTTGAAAAATAATAAGAGATAATACAAGAAATATTATTCGATTTGTCTGTCTAATCTTAATATACGGTTTAAGTAACACACAATAACGCGTTTTACCACAAACCGAAACTCATTTATACGTACTCGACGCGCGTTTCGACAACCAAGTTGGCATCTTCAGGAGAAGATTAAAACTGTTTAAGTGTTTTTTGTTTCACTTGGAATTATCATTAACCAGCGAACTTTATCTATGCTAGAATGGCAACAGCGGGACAGAAAAGTGAGGCAAATTTTACAATAGAAATAGGTGGCTACTAATAGGCATTGTTATTTTTCTCTTGCTCGTTCATTTTATATTGTTTGATTAATTTATTTACCGACATATTTTTAATAAAATTGTTTAGACATCATTATTCGGTGATCAATTAAATATTTGTTGAAAATAAAATTAATTAATAATCTGAAAAACTTAACAAAACTTAAGAAAATTTCCCAAATTAATTTGCGTTAGAATTTAAAATATAAGTATTAGAATTATATTTTATATTTATATTTTATATATTTTATTTTTGAAAATTTTATGAGCCTGTATCTCAAAAGTTTTCTTCTTAAAATTAATTATTGACATTCAATTAGGAAACAGGGTGTTTTGATTAAGGGTTCTGTGCCCTAAACATCACCGAATTGTTTAAACCATTACTTTTGTGTTATTAGGAATAACAACACAATTTTTCAAAAAAAAAATTAACTCAGAATAAAACATAGGAGCAGTTTTGAACACAGTTCTATTAATAAAATATCTTATTAAAATATCTATACGTGCACCAAGTTTAGCTAACCCTTCGCCCTTATAATCACATTAATGTGTTCTATAAGTATAGAAATTTATTTATTAAACTTTAGCCGATTATAAATACATAACAAGAATCTGGCATTTTAAAGACTGTTTATTAATTAGTACGAGCATGAAATTATTAGGTATTCGATATACACAAGATTGTCGTCGTTAAAAATAGTGAAAATTTATCACAACCACTCAGTTCGCAGAATTGAAACGATTTCACAAATTACCCGTTATCAAACGATTTTCTCTCAAAAAGACCAAACAGATGTAAAAATTGCGAAATAATACGAAAGCTCCTATTACAAGTATCTATCAACAGTAAAAACGTATATGAGAAAGAAAACAATCCAAATCACTACCCATCTCATTCTAAATAAAATTTACTACACAAAATCGATACTTCGATCGATTCTAGTTTAAAGGGTTTAATTATGACTTGCCAAAATAATCTGAATACTTCTAGTTTGTGGTTGCCGGAAAAAGAGCTGACTATTTATCTTTGTATTACTGATGTACAATATTACTATGTAGTCCTGCTTATTTAATTCATAAAGTAGTCATACCTTGTTTTTCTGTAATATATTTGATTTGGTTGCTCGATTTTATTTGAAAATAATATACCACTTGCTGGAATTCTCCAAAGTATCATCAATTTATATGGCGCAGTCGATGGGGATCTCGCCGTTGTCGGAAATATTTTCTAGAAAGAATTCGATCGGCAATAATCCCGCGCGCAACACGAAATCCGTTTTCATTAACGGCAACTTAAAAGCTTGAGGACCAAGTTTTTCGCCCGTCCCGCGCGCCGCCAAAAGTAATATCTGCCTCGCGGACCGGGGGCCGAAATAAATGAACGTTTCAAAGTGTTTATCCAACTTGGTCGCTGGCAACATTTTCCACGTGAAGTTTCATATCATTTTTCCGAATTAAAAAACTTTCGACGAAACTTTTGATACGTCTGCGTTACTTTTTAATGGACTTTTATAAAGGGTGATCCATTTTGTATCCCTTATTGCCACACCTGTCATTAACAAAAATGTGTAAAAACATTATTTTTTCGCTGTCATTTTTGACCACTTAGTTGATATATTACCCCCAATATTCCGTTATCACGGACTAAAGAGAAATGAAGGACAATTTAATGACAGTTATTAAAACCTACTTACGAGACGGTTTTTATAATTATATTTTTTAGTTTAACACATCAGCATTTGCTGTTAAGCTATAGTGCTAATATAAGACTAGGAATAAAATAATTCTTCATTATCAGCGAGTGAAAAAGTAATACGATTACAGTAAAAAGACACCATAACATCGCCTTGCATATGAAAAATATCACCGAGAAATAGCAGAAAGTTTGGTTTTTCTAATTCAAAGAATGAAAATTATATATTTTTTTCTACTCCCGTCTATAAAATACCTAGATACACACCGATCTAGCGTGCGGGAAGCGTCACTTTACCTCGTCAGTTTCGTTTTCCACGAATCCGAGCCACTTCGGACATCTCCGCGTTTTTACCGCACGCATTTGGAAGCAATCGGATGTTTTCGGAGATATTTCCCACGCCTTCAGTTGTCACGTTTGTCAATTTTCACGGTCATGCCAGTGAATGTATTCGTGTTGTTTTGTGAAAATGTACCCAAAAACTAACGGTCGTAGAAAAAGTATAGTATGCAACACGTTCGGTAAAATTTTTGTTGCATAATTAACTATTTTTTTGGTGTCGTTTGCTATGTTTTTTACAGACCGTTGCTAAGATAGCAGTTTATCTAGAAAGCTTAAACTTAAGCTCTATGGTAGCGGTGGACCCATGAGTACTCAAAATGAGAGGACCTTTTTTGACCATGAAAAATACGACAAGCAAAAAAAAGTATCAGTTAAGTCTTCCACACAAATTTCACGTCTATGATTACAATAATATACCTTTAAAATAGTAAACAGAAAAGTGTAAAGAAAAAGATACGCCTGTTCGTATGCTGTCTAATTTTCAAGTTAATAGGTACTAGAAAAGTATGCCTTGCTAATGATCATGCAAAAATACATTAGTAGTTCAAAAAATAAATACAAACATTCAAAACAACTTGAACTTAAGGATGAATGTTAAATGAAAATATTTGTCTTCCTTATAATAATACAAAAACACCTTAACATCTTTTCCTGTGTGCTTTTGAGGTAATGCTTGTGTAGAATTCATCACAATGTGATAACCTATTGAAAATTTTATTAGGGCCCTTGTTCACTTTTTTCTTGTTATCCTCTTCACGGAAAATCAATACTCTTAAATTTTTTGGTAGAACAAGTCCAAAAAAATTGTCAATTCTAGGCTGTTTTCTTCTTGCCAATCTAAAAATAGGCACTAATCTTTATGGCAGGGACAAGCTTCGTGAATAGGACACTGCGATAGAAGTTGTGCTGAAGAAATAAAGTGAAGTGAAGAAGACTCCTGCTCTTCACTTTGTCAGTGAAAATGTTAAATTTATAGTCACTTGCTCAACGTTTTTGCTATTAGTAACGAAATATAGTAGCATCGAGGCAACTATCGAGTTTTGGTTTCCTTCTTTAAATTCCAGTCTAACTCCTTTTAATATTGGGCCAGAGAATCGCACTTTTAAGTGCAAAAAGATATCGCCTAAAGAGAAAAACTGAGTGTGCAAGGTGACGAAAAGTGTAATTTAAAAAAAATAACTCTTTTTATTTTAAAAACGAAATACCCACTCTAAGATAAGATTTTAATGTAACTTAGACAGGTATTCCGTTGATAACTAGAAAACCAAGTCATTCGTATTAGAATACGATGATATTAGTATTTTGAAAACATGAATTCTTCGAATGAAATAAACGTCGATATAAATAATAAAATTCTAATATTTCTAACGCACCCCAAAGACGAAGAAACTAAATATCCGGAAGGTGCAATTACAACAACAAGATGGCGGCACTAGTTACCAAAAGTTTTGTAGTTACTTACCAAAGCTCCAGCCATTTTGGACGCATGGTTTTTAGTTAAGAGTTGTTTGTTTTCATGAATATGGAAAAAAATGCTATAGAGCCGTTAAAAGATATTTGTTTTTGAAAGTTTAGGAGCAATAAAAGAGAGTCAAAAAAAGCAAAAGCTGTTTTTTTTCTGCTGGGAAAGTGGGCGACTGTTTTTTGGGATAGACATGGAGTAATCTTAATCGATTACCTTTGAAAAGGAATAAAAGAAATCCATAGTTCTTACTATTACAAACTCTCCGTAGAGAGTGAAATGGTGAAGTAAGAGAAATACATCCCTGGCGCAATGATGCCACCATGAGCAGTATCAAAATAATGCGCACGTTATGCGCAATTTTGGACACATTTTTTAAAATAGAGAGAGTGTTCTGCTCTCCCGAATTGTATTCTTTAAATTCTGATTTTTTCCCCAGAGAAGTGCACAAAATTTAATTTGGTTAAGGAAAAGTCAGAGATTTCTAACGGTACAACAAAGTTTTAATTTGGTTGATGTCGGATGGGAATTTTGGAATTGTGGAAGGTGATAAGTTTACCACACATTCAGAAGATGAAGCTGTATTTTATTAAAACAATGTGCGAAAAATTTCATTAGAGCATTATTCTGATATTGTTATGACATCGAAT